TACACTCAGACAAGAAAATGTGTGTGCCTACAAAAGTATCTACACAAATGTTCATAGAAGTATCATTCTCAATAGCCAGAAGTAAGAAGCCAGTGTTCACCTACAGAAGAATGCATAGGCCACATCCATATGCACACAAACACCTCACCCACCACATGGCCAGCCCCACTCCCTGCCCACTGTCATGACTCCAGCCACTTTGGATTCCTGGTTATCATTATTGAAGATGGGATAAGGTTCTCTGTAGTATGTAGGAAATCCTAAAGGGATGCAGAGGCCAAAGAGCCAAGAGACCACAGGGCTTATATCAGCGGAAGGACAAAAGAAATCCTACCCTATAGGGAAGAGCTATAGGACTGGCAAGGCATCTAGTCCCAGCCATTTGCTATGCTCAGAACATTTTGCCCACATATAGGTACATGGATGATGATGGTGGAAACGTTCTTCATCGCACAGATGTCTGCCAAAGCGTCACTTCCCTGTGAGCCTTCCCAAACCATCCTCTGTAAAGCAGCATCCTTCTTGTTACTACTGACCCAGTCCTACTCCATCCTGAGCTTCCTGCTCTTACTGCCAAATGACATTATTTATCAGATGAAAAATAGATGTTATGAGGAGAGGGTGGTGTACTAACCTGAAAATACTGCCTTACCTCACTATCCAACATCTATGCATATGCATATACGGAATTCATGCAGGGACCTGTCATCAACAGGTAGAAACTATACTTTGTCTCATTTGTTAGATGACTTTTCTGACTCGTCTTTCTTTATACAAGTAGAACTCAGAATACTTCATTCTCTACCATCAGTACACTGTATTAGACCAAAGGACATCAGAACCTAACATATAAATTGAAAATATGATTTAAGTATATATGTTACAAACTAGCACATGGACTTAATACCTGAGAAAAATATTCAGATGTGAATCTGAAAGAACGATGCCATACATTTCTATAGAAACACAAAGCATAGCCTTGGAGAAAGTAAACTCTTTCAGAGATTAGCTGACCATAACCTTTCGATTACAGACATACAGGTCACATGACTATGGGAGGATTAGCTCCCCTCACTAGTAATGGAAGGCCCACTCCAAGCATCTTCAGTTTTTTTCAATTACCAGCCTTTTAATCAGGTGTGCTGCTTACTGAGGTGATGGACTCCATCAGGAGGAATAGACAACAGGGCATTGGATGCCAGTCTGGGTGTTTAGCTGTCTTCCTGTGCCTAGCATGACAGCCCCTGGCTGTAGTTCACAAAGCCTCCTGGGAAGGATCCCTCCCTACCTCTCCACTGTTTTCTCCCATGAGCCTTTCACAGTAACTGCTAACTGTGAATACATAAGAAAGAGTAAGTTTACACATTGTCTACAGAGGGAGTCAGGCTGCAAGGGCAGCGGGATAAAAGGAAAAGCAAATATGCAGGTACCAGTAACCAAAACAAGATTTCTGTGAAGGTCAGAGGTTGTGAAAGTCAAGTATTGCCAGGAGCCAACAGTTGTGAAATCATATACAACTTTCTTTATATGTGGGCATTGATTACAAGGCATAAGGGCCTAATTCAAGGTTCTTTTTTTTGTTTGCTTCCCAATATGTGGGTGAAAGACTACCCTAGTAGGCACAGGCTATGCTTCTGGGCAGTGTTTAAGGGTGTAAAGCAAAGCAATAAGGCTCAGTTCTAGTCCACCCAGTTTAGCAATGGATTCCTGCTCTAATTAGTCCTATAATCCAGGCTCCTACAAGACTTTACTGAACCCAGAGTTCTAAAGTTTGGATGTTTACCTTGAACACCACCTTGTACTCCCTGTCGTCATGGGATCCTCAGTACCAACCACAGCTATGATGCATTTCTAATCCATCCTGATCATCCCCAATGGGACTGCCAACAGTGACAATCTATGAACTTGGGTCAGACAGGAGCAACTAACATCCATATGACCAGCTTGGAAGGATTGATTTGAGCAAACACATAGTAAGGAATAGTTTTATCAACAAGTTTTTAATCTATCTTGGATAAAACGGCTAATAAAAGCAGGCACAACAGCTTTATAAGACTTCCATGAATTTTTTCTAGTTTTACAACATTCTAAATGGAAATTGTTTATTTTCATATATTTTAAAGTTGGTTATCACTTGCATAAAAAAAGAATAAATGGTCATACCGGCCTGAATCTCTGTTTCCCCTTTTATAACCATATCGATAGTATAATTTGAGCAAGAATTTAATAAAATATCTTATAAAATTCTCTTACACAAAAGCAATATAACTGAAATATAGATGCAGTTGGATGAAGTGTAGTTAGGGGGTTTATAGTTAAGCAGCTTAAATCCAAAAGTCCTGATTAATGGGCAACCATCAACCTAGAAATAATACTTTTTTCCCCAAAATTGCTGTCCTGTCCAGCACTTTACATCCCTCCCCTACCTTTCCTCACAAGTTGCCATCAAGGCCAAGAAAGAGGGGCTGGGAGGAATCACTCAGTAGGTAAAGCATTTGCTGTGCAATTTGGTGTGTTCAGAGTCCTAGCACCCACATAAAAAGCTGGGCACGGTAGTGTGGGGTTGTACTTCCAGCATTGGGGCAATAGACACAGGAGGATCTATGAGGCTTCCTGGCCAGCTCATCAAGTTCATTCAGTGAGTCATAGGTTCAGTGAGAGACTCTGAGAAGAGCAGCTGAGGAAGACATCTGATGTTGGCCTCTGGCTTCCACATGAACATATATGCACGGTCACATACCAACACTATACATATATACTGCACAAGGCCAGAGAAAGTATGTTCATCAAAGCAGGAAATGACACAAGAAGGGTGGTCTCTGGGCAGATAAGAGCATCAGGCTTAGAAAGTCCTATATGGGCTTAAGAATGATAGGAGGAGGAGTAAAATAAAGAAGAAAAGGGATGGAGATGTTCCTACATCCATATGCTGTGATGAACATCAAAAGAAGATGGTGGCTCAGCAAAGAGTGACCCATCCTCGCATGGAAGGTTGGAAGACCAGGACTCTATGCCTGGTTTAAAAGAAAATGGCACAGACAGGCACAGGGCCATACTAGACCCATTAGACCTGCGCCAGCCTCCATGGAGATAAAGCATGACTCCAGGGTCCTCCTGAATCCTGAGACTCTGAGGAAGGCTAATGTATAGGAGGGGCCCTAAGAGAGGGTCCAGCCCTCACTCAGATATACCTGCTGGAGAGTAGCCAGAGAGAACACCCCCAGAAGGTCCCCAGGGGCTAAGTGTAGGCCAGACACAAGAAAGAACTTTTCTAAGAAGGAGAGCAGCCTCACAGAGGAAGCTCTTTGTAGGTGACAGGCCTCCAGCAGCTGCAGAGAAGTAGCCAAAGACCTTACAAAAGCAACTTCTGCGTCAAGGGGGACTTTTGAATTCAATTAACCCCAGCGTCCCTTCTAATTAAGATTCAATAGCATTGCTTTGCATGCATAGATGTCAAGGCTTCAGTACCTTAGGAGTGCCTGCTGTGTACCTAGAATGCACAGTACTACTTTTGTCAATTTAACCTTCTGATCCTTGTGTACAACATGCTGTCAGTTTTCTGTACTCTCTTCTGTACACATACCTGTTAATTATCCTCCGGTGGACAATCTTTAAAATTATAATTCGTTCAGCACAGTCTTTCAGGAACTCTGACATCCGCTGCTTTAGAACTGGTTTCATTTCATGTTTTGCAATTGCCTTAAGGTGATCCCATGAAGCTTTGCATCTTCTCTCCATCTGACATAAATTATCCTGAAGTTGATCAAAGTCAACCTGAAAATGAGGGATGGGGGGAGAGAGAACACAGCAAATGCATGAAACAACTGGACAGCAGCCTGAGCCGGGAGCCCAAAGTGCCTCTGGGAGGAAACAAGAATCAAAACTGAACTTACATGTTGAAATACAAACATATTTATGGCCTAAAAATGATTCACATGTGTATTTTTCATTATCTCCGCATCAATTTGTTCAGTGATAAAACTGTTCTCCAAGTGAACTCAATACAGGAGTCACCTTTTCTTGCCTTGTTTGGGAAGAAATGTTTTGAGAATAGTTGGGAACTGTAAATTCAGACTTGAAATGAAAGAAGGTAGTACAAGATGAGCTGAGCAGAAGTCTCATAAACCTTTTCAGGGTCCTCTTGTTCTTCCCAGCTAATATTTTACTCAAGACTAAGAAACTTCCCCAGTCACGGATGGCTCGCCTATACTCAGCCATGGATGGCTCTGCTATGCTCAGCCAGCAATAGACAGCTGACTTTCTTTTCGCCATAATTCACAACTTTTGTGAAAAAAAATGATAGGACTCATCCATTATTTATATATTCATCCAACACTCATGGAATACCTAGCGCACAACTCTCCATATTATCAGGTACTAAATACAGAGATCCCCATACAGCACAATAAGTACACAAAGGCAAGTGCGGGATGTACCTGGATTCATGGTCTCAAGTAATCTCATCCCATGGTCTACAGTACCTTCAAGGCTTCGTGTGTGCGTGTGCGTGTGCAGGTGGAGAGGCATGAGATCCTGAAAGTTAATGCAGGCTACACATGCACAGACACTTGAGACAGAGCATGAACAAGCATTCTGGGAAGGGCAAAGCATTTGGAAGGACAAGTAGCCCCATGTGAGGCTTTCTAGGGTAATGAAGAGGGTTAGTTAGTCTAGAAAAAACACACTTGAGTGCCAGATTTGGTAGATGGGATGTAAGTGGGAAAGACATTGAAAGGGATAGGAAAAGAACTAGGCAAGCAAGTGGAGATGGAAAAGAAGCGAGGAGCAGCGGGCGAATGTGAAAGTAAGACAGACAGAAATCTGAAAGGGCAGCATCTAGGAGGTGAGCTGCCACTGGCCAGGACAGGGAGAAGGGCAGGGCAGAGAGGGGAAGACCCGGACAGGATTAGCAGGAATGACCTTGCACTTTCAGACCCATCCTGGGAAGACAAGGGAAGGGAAGGGATAGTGCTGTGGAGTATTATTTTAACTGGGCAAAGATGTGCTACATTTGTTTATACTGTTGAATATCACTTCAACCATGTAAAGGTGTGTTACTTTTGTTTATGCTGCATTTGTTTAATTATGTAAAGATGTGTTACATTTGTTTCCCTTTGCCTGCCTAAGGCACCTGATTGCTCTAATAAAAAAATGAATGGCCAATAGGTAGGCAGAGAAAGGATAGGCAAGGCTGGCTGGCAGAGAGCATAAATAGGAGGAAAAATCTAGACTTAAAAGGAAGAGCTAGAGAGGGAGGAGAAGAGGACAAGGCAGACATCTGGGGCCAGAAGCCAGGCAGCTACCAGCCTGCAGACATGAGAAGCAGTGGAAATAAGATATGGGGGGGGAGTAAAAAGACCCAAGGCAAAAGGTAGATAAAGAGAAATAGGTTAATTTAAGTTAAAAGAGCTACCTAGAGCCAGGCACTGGTGGCGCACATCTTTAATCCCAGCACTCGGGAGGCAGAGGCAGGTGGATCTCTGTGAGTTCGAGGTCAGCCCGCTCTACAGAGCAAGTTCCAGGACAACCTCCAAAGCAATACAGAGAAGCCCTGTCTCAGAAAACAAAAACAAAACAAAAAAGCTACCTAGAAACGAGCTAAGGCTGAGCATTCAAAACTAATAAGTCTCTGTCATGATTTGGGATTTGGTTGGTGGCTCAAAAGAGAAAGCCTGCTACAGGACCAAGTCTACAATGGTAGATCTGAAGGAGGACCTGCTACACCCATGGGAGAAAGACTAGGAGCACAGAGGACTCCTGAGGCCAGGAGAGCAGGATGGGGCCCAAGAAGGGCTTAGAGCTACAAAGGCTCTGTGAAGTTTGGAAAGGGGCAGCAGATACCCTTATGGTCTCCTGTTTCAAGACATAGATTTTGAATAGCCATCATCTAGTGTAACTTGTGGGTAGCTTGGGCCTGTGTGGTAAGTATGTAGGCAAGGATACATAATGCAGCTCTTATTTAAATGACAACTAAATGTCTAGTAGGCATTTGGGAAAGGGCTGGCATTAATGAGGGCCCAGGACATCCACAGATCTGGTCTGGTATCAGTAATTCTGTGTCAGAGTTGCTTTGGTTGCTAGCCAGCTCCAGCTGGTGAAGACCCTGGGTAAGACCAAATAGAACCCAATATTTTGGGTGGTTCTGGAAATAAGGCCAAAAGGAGGGGCTCTAGACAGACTGGTTTTTTTTTTTTTTTTTTTTTTTTTTTTTTTTTTTTTTTTTTTA